TTCAATTTCCCCATTTTTTCGTTTATTCAGATTCCTAATAAATATTTTTCCCCATCACTATAAGAAAGGGATAAAAATATTTTAAGGTAAGTGATGTGTGTACTGTAATGCATTTTTTAGGCCTAGTTTCGCTCATTTAAATTTTGATAGTGTAACATTTTATCAGGATTTTATATGCTCTGAAGAGAGAGAGGAAAAAAAGAAAAAAAAAGGAGAGAAAGAAAAAGAGGGGAGAGAGAGAGAGAGAGAGAAGGAGAGAGAGAGAGAGAGAGAACTTAAACTAACCCTCCTCGGGATGACTTCACACCGCAAAATAGAAAGATTATCTCGCTATCTGGCTATTGCCCCAGTGATACTGCATGTTTGTGGTATACCAAAGGGAAAGGATTTTTGGATGAAAGGACCTACTTGTTCCAACACTGCCCCCAAAATTTGCCCCCAAAAGAAAAATTTTTGTTGCACCAGGTTAAAAATTTTTCAGAAAATTTAAGGAATCCAAAATCCTGTGGTATATGTGGATAAAAATGGAGCTCAGGAGGAGGGTTCAGAAGCCCTACCTCAGGGACTCCTGCCAAAAGATCAAATGCCCTCTTGGGCTTGTTTAAAGTTGCAGCTAAGAAAAACCTCACAGGGAAAGCACTTCATGAGCCCCCCAAATCATTAGAAAACCCTACAAGTATTGTAAAAGGGTCAGTGCAAGCCTACTTTAAGTGACGTAAGCTGCTCAGTGATGGCGACACTATTGACAAAGACTGGAAGTCCCACTAGTTTAAACTCGGGGGTAAACATCGGGGTGGAATTCTTCATGCAAAGGTCCCACAGATGACAGATTAAAACACTCCCTTTGGGAATTTAACCAATTCCTTCCCACCACAAGGGAAAAAAATCCTTTCCCAGAACGGGGAAGCCTTGGATCTTTTTTAATTTTCCCCTACCCTGACATCTCTGCTTCACCCACTGCCAGTCTATTTGACAGTGCACTCCCATTTGACCTACACCTTCACCCCACCCGCTGAACTATTCTGAATCGGGTAGTAGTGCTCGACAGCAAGCTCTGAGCCAGGAGTTTCTCCACCGAAAAGGTGCAGTGGGATAGGGAACTATCACTGCACCTGATCACCTGCTGCCCGAAGAAAACAGCAGGGAAAATTTGCAGAACTGGTGGGGCGGGGTAGAGGAGTGGAGGAGGACTGGGGAGGAAGCATCTACAGCCTTCACCCTCCCAAACCCCAAGTTCCAGCGGCAGAATCCGAGGACAAATCGCGAAACAAGGGGTACAAAAAAATCCAGTCCACCCCCCAGGCCTGGGCTGTGCTCTCGTTTTCACCGGAAGGGGACTCTCCCAACAACGCCTGCAGTACCGGGTGTAACTATGAAAAAGAAAGGAATAAGGAGGACCAGTGTGGAAGAAAAAGGATTTGACGACAGGGCCCCCTGTTTAGAGACCTGTTCTCAGAAAAACCCCAGCAGGATTCTGAATTGGAAAACACCTCACCGCACTCACTAGCACCCTACCCCAGCCCAGCGGTGGGATTGGGCCTTTACAAGACCACAGACCTACTCCCTGCAGCTGCCTCAGTACCCTACCTCTCTAAGGGCAGGCACCTTCATTCCCTACACACCCCCCCCCTCAAGCTGACCACTTCATCATGAGGACCAGTCATCAGCATCCTGTGGCCAACATTAGAGGTTTCTTTACAAAAGTGGAGAGCTCCAATGCTTTGTGAACACTCGACCCCCGACATGATAGCTTTTGTTGAAAAAATTTTTGGAGACAGGACTCAGAAAATTTTCAAAATTGCTGGCTAACCTCATGGATGGAAGAGCAGGCAAGGGCAAGGGGGGGGTTTTTTTTGCTGTGTGTTCCTAAAAAATGTTTTAGCCCCACATAGATTTCCCCCCACACATCTTTAAATGATGTTTTCAAGCTCTGTATAACCTAGTACCTCTGTACTCATGGCAATGACAACCTCAGTGGAACATGCAGACCCTATAACTTCCTAATGGAAAATATTGACCCCCCTTCTGCTACAAAACAAATGTCAACATATTTTAATTGTTGGTGACTCAACCAGCACCTTTTTCAGAGGGACTTTGGACCTTTTGCAGTGTTTGACATAAACTTTTTTGATTCCACCATATCTCTGCTTCCCCTTTCCCAGTGGGAGTGATCTGCAGAAGGCATAGTCCTTGTCAACCCCCCGGTACCTTGGGTCTTTGACCAAGGGTGTTTTACCACACTTAAGATCCCAACAGAACGGGTGAGGAGTCCCCACCGCCAACCCGGGCTATGGGAAAGAGGGAAATTTGGGCCCCCTTTTTCTCTGAGCTCGCCACCCCATGGAATTTTCTCTTCTCCAGGGGGTGTTGACAACCAAGTGAAAGCCCCACTGGAAAAATCCTTAATCTCAACAAGAAAACATTCCCCACCGGGAATATGTGACAAAGCCTACAGATCACCTTGGGTTTTGGCTTTTGTTGTAGAGAGGCTGCACTGCAAGTACAAAGCATGGCGAAGGTATAAGAGACATCCTACCACCTATAACAGGAATTGCCTGCAAGCCTGTAGGATATGGGTGATGTTTAAAAGTGGGGGATTGTAAATGGGAGTTGGACATAAAAAAAAGTTAGCATCAGGGAGGGTGGGGTCCAAAAACCTGGTGGTCCTGGTCAAGGGCAGACAGGGTTTTTGCCTCATGAACTTATTCCACCTCTAAATCGACAGGAGGGACCCCCTAT